GGGACCAGCAGGTGGATGGATTTGCTAATGTCCCTTCTGCATGCCTCAGTCCAAATCACTGGAAGAGAAGTAGTCTATGGTTCCTCTATTACACAGCACTGAGCTAAAGTTCCCTTTCCTTCGTGTGTGTTACAGGAAGCCTGTCCTTGTTTGTTTCCCTCTCACACTTACCTTGGAAACAGAGTTGGCTTCTGGCTCCATCACTTTGCTCAGCTTATTCATGGCTTAGTACTTACCTCTCAGGACACCAAGAGGCCACAGGGGATGCAACTTACAGAGCAATTAACCTACACTGGACCCAGCAGGCATCCGCTGTTGCCATCACAAGCATTCACACATCTGAACCTTGATGGGCACCCACATCACACTCACGTGGATGCAGGTCCCAGGCTCTCCCATCCCCTTATTTGGATGTTTTGGTGCTTGCTGGTTTCCTAGCTTCTAGTCACAGTTGGACTAAGTGAAGTCATTCATTCCCAGGAGGGGGTTGCACGGCACTGTGAGCACTGCACAGGAGCTTAAGGGAGTCTCCTGACCCTGATGACCCTGCCGCCCCCACTCTGCAGAGAAAGAGCCCCAGGCAGCCCAGCAGCCTCCAGACCCTTCTGCAGACCCTGAGTCTGAACTCACCGGGGTCACTAAAGCTTCTGTCTCTCTCTTGCTCGCTCTTGCTCCCTCTCCCTCCCTCCTTCCTTCCCTCTAAGGATTTCACCTTCACTGACTTTCAGGACAAGGGTGGGGAGTGAGACGTGACACTCTCCTGGGAGGAGGTTACTGCCTCTTCACTCGTATGTTCCTCAAAAGGGGGAAAGAAATCTAAGTATTTTCACAAGCATTAGCTTATTCTGAGCTTTGTTTGAAGTTAAACATAGGTATGTTTAAGATTTAAATTGGGTCAACACCTCTGACTTTTAATTAGATTTGGAGGCATTCATTTGAATATGAAGTCCATATTTGTCTATTTAGAAATAAAACCTGTACCATGATTTCTACTCAACACAAAGTTTCTGCTTTCTTTGCAATTTAGCAAAACTGACAGAGGTGACCAGATCTCTTTCTCCCCTTGCTTCCCTTCCCAGTCCCCCCCCCCCACCCCCAACTGCATTTACATTTCTCACCTAGCTAGTTCTGGGTCACTGATAAAGGAAGAAAGAGACACCATTTATGGGGTCTCTGCTCCGGTGTCCTGGTGCACATTCCTGTCCCAGCATTGCCTTCTTTCTCTAGAGGGTTTCATATCCATCTGTGTCCTTCCTTGAAGTTCTTTACAGAAGAGGAAATGGGCTTGGAGAGGTCTGAGCAGTGGTGAGGGTAGAGCTGGGATTTGCTGGGCCTGGCCACCGCCCTCTCCTCTAGTCCACTGGTCTGCCTCCCAGCCCGACAGGGACAATGACCAGGGCAGACCAGGGACCACAGCAGAGCAGAGGCCCAGAGGGGAGCCCCGCGGGGATAGGTCAGAGTGAGCTGCTCATTTTCGGAGTGTAGAGGGGAATAAGGTCAGAAGGGCAGCCTGGCCAGGCACAGTGGATCATGCCTATAATCTCAGGCATGAGTGGTCAAGGTGGCTCCTGGAAGGAGAGGGAGAGGGTGCCCTTCCGCCTGGGATAGAGCCTGGTTCTGGAGCCTTCCATGCATCCATGACAAAGGCTCCAACCAGCTTCTCCCTAGTCTGTTAGCGTGCATCCTTCTGGCTTGTAGTAGAGGCTCTGGAGGTATTCTGACTCACTGAAGAAATGCAGTCCTCACTCCCGCTGCCCTGACAACACCTCCTGAACATGACTTAGTGCCTTCCTGACAGCTGTGGCGGGAGGGAGGGAGACAGAGCTGCTTTCAAAGACACCATGAGCAGTTTTTATGGAAGAGGGATTGGACTCCAGAGAGAGCTGGCCATTTGCAGACTCCTGCTCCTCCCCTCCAACTGGAGGCCGCCCCAGCGTGGTTCAGAAGGCCCCCTCCTTGCCAGCTGTCACCGAGGCCCATGACCTGCAAGGGGCCGCATCCAGCCAGGTGCCCTCGGCAGTGGCCAAGACCGTGGGCCACTCCATGCTCCCCAAACACTCCGGCCCCTCTGAGAGCTGTGTGTCCTCCTGACTATCCCTGCCTGGGCCTGTCCCCCACCTCAGACTGACCTTAACTGTCCTTCCCACTCTTGGCCTACCATCCGTCAAGACTTCCAGGATTCCTTCCTTCCCCAATGGTCTCATTCCACCCACATCTCACTGATGACGAGAGTGACCGTTGTCCCTGTTTGCCTGGTACAGGCCCTGTCTGAGGTGCTGTGGTTGCGGCATCCTTGTGAACAGAGCTGCCTTCGCTCAGAAGCGTCCAGTTTGGACAGTCATACGGTCCCCCAGCAGCGACACAGGTGTCCCTGACTGTGAGGCCACCTAGACAGCTCAGCAGCAGCTCCGGCCCAGGACAGTGGAGTCAGGAGGCAGG